AGAGCTGGTACTGGGTGCCTCAGGGGGCCAGGGCTGAAGCTAGCTGCTCACAGAGACTCTGGAGGCTGGGGCTTTTTCTGGTCTGGTAACATTTTATTTGCATATTTGCTTAATGAATATGCATATATGTAAATTAAACATTGCCAGTTTTCCAAACATTTGTGAATGGGTTTACTGGTCTGTGGTATAAAAAAGGTTGGGAACCACTGCTTTAAATGAAGGATCTATTTTATTTTAGGTCAACTGCTCACAGAGACTCTGGAGGCTGGGGCTTTTTCTGGTCTGGTAACATTTTATTTGCATATTTGCTTAATGAATATGCATATATGTAAATTAAACATTGCCAGTTTTCCAAACATTTGTGAATGGGTTTACTGGTCTGTGGTATAAAAAAGGTTGGGAACCACTGCTTTAAATGAAGGATCTATTTTATTTTAGGTCAAAATCTTGGAAAGAAAGCATTAAAGTGCAATGCAGTGTTTGTTCAACTTGCTTTTGATTGTTGGTAGGTTGAGAAATCTCTGTTCTGTGAGTGATACTTATCCAGTAATTAGTTCTAACTTTGTTCTAAGTATTTTTAGGTTTTGTTTGCATTTAAACTGGTTTGTTTTATTATTTGTGTTACATACTTTGGTAGCTCTGTAGTTTTCCTGCTCTGTGTATTTGAGAAGTAATCCTGTCTTGATATAGATATGAAGATGACCATAATTATAGCTGCCTATTATAAATTGAGTGTGCGTGTTATTGTTGTTATTATTAAAACGTCAGTATTTGCCACTGTTCTCATATGTAGCTGAGATATTCATAGCTTTGCTATCTTCTGAAACTAGGACATTTGGGAGTTGTTGACAAATACTGATTTTTAAAAAAATGTCTTTTATCTTATTGTAAGTAGTTGTGTGGACCCTGATTTTAAATGATCTTCAACCTGGCTGTTTGTTTTGCATGTATAGTTAATTGTGTGCACAGTCCTATTACTTAGATGTCCAGCTTCCTGATTCGCAGGTGTAACAGTAGAACCTCAGCTACAAACATGGGGACTGAAGGTTGTTTGTAACTCTAAAATGTTTGTAACTATGAACAGAACATAATGGTTCTTCTTCGAGTGGTTGCTCATGTCCATTCGAAGTAGGTGTGCGCGCCGCGTGCAGCACGTCTTCCGGAGTGTTTTTCCTAGCGGTACCCGTAGCGCCAGCGGGGCGCCCCCTGGAGTGGCGCCGCCATGGCGGGGCATGAGTACCCCTGCCAGCGCTGCCCCACCTCAGTTCTTTCTTACTGCCGTGTCGGTTGTTGGAGCGTCTCTCTCTCTCTGTCTGTTTAGGCTTAAATAGTTAATGGTTCCCGTTTCTCACCTTGTAAATAGTTGTGTAGTTAGATAGTTAGGTTTTTTTGTTTTGCTCCTTCCCGCCTTGGGGGAAAGGAATGCCAGGGCTGCAAGGCTTCAAGGCGTGCGCTGACTGCGGGAAGTTTATGTCCAGGGGCGACCCACACGACAGCTGCCTTAAGTGTCTGGGTGAGGCTCATCTGGCAATTGCCTGTAAAATCTGCAAGTCTTTCAAGCCCCGTATGAGGAAAGAAAGAGTTTCCCGCTTGAAGCTTCTCCTTGTGGAGATGGCGCTTCAACTGGTGCCGCCGGAACAGCCTGCGGTGCGCAGCGCACCGGCCTCCACGCGCAAGACCGCACACCGGCACCAGGCATTGACGTCAAGATCCCGGCACCGGTCTCACTCTCCACCGCCTAAGAGGGTGAAGAAGTCCTGGGGCAGGTCACCGTCTAAAAAGCCTACGTCGACTGGGCACCGCAGCGGCAGTTCACCGGTGCGTGTTTCCCCTCCGGTGCACCGTCGGCACCGAGGGGACCTGGTTAGCCCTGGTCGCCTGCCCTCTCACCGCCCGTCCATGCTGGACACATTTGAAGCGGCGCAGGACCTAATTAGTCTCACGACCTCCCCGCCGTCGTCAGTCGACTCGGACGTATCGAGGTCGCCCCCGTTGGAGGCTCAGAGGGCACCGTCATCGCCCCTGCATGGCCCAGGTCAGCATGCTATGGTGGCTTATGCGTCGGGACCACCCCCGGTGGGGTCGGTCGGTTGACTCGGACGGGTCGAGGTCGCCCCCGTTGGAGGCTCGGAGGGCACCGTCGTTGCCCCTGCATGGCCCAGGTCGGCATGCTATGGTGGCTTATGCGTCGGGACCACCCCCGGTGGGGTCGGCTCCCGCTACTACTACGGCACCCTTCACGACGCCGAGCCGTTAGTCTCAGGGAGCTTCGAGCCATGGCAGATCGCTGCTCTCCACTTTGCCAGGGCCCCACTTGGCCGTACCGGTGCCGTAACG